ACGGCGGGTGTGACCTGTTGGCAGGTAATGATCACTCCTTCATGGCACCTGATCCCACCTCTGATGTTTTTGGAGGTAATGTTTGTTCTGCTCTCGGTTTGTATATTGTTTAAATGGACTTTGAGCTTGAATACTGTTCGTCATCTCCTTACTTCATAAAACAAGTTGTATAGGCCATTTTCTGTAACTTGCAATTGTGGCCAGACAAAATATGATACGATAGATTTTACCTTTTAGCATGAATTAAAACACTTTTTATCCAAAGGCAAAAGACCATACAAGAGTGAAATCTTGCTGTACACTACTTAAGTGACCTATATGGTGAAAGAATAAAGCGTGTGAGAGCAAAACAATAAAGAAAAACGCAGTTTTTCTTATAGAGTGTTTTCCCATGATGTACAGTGCGTTCCAATTAATAAAGATCCTCAAATATTGAGGAGTTTCATCACATTCATGTAATAGAGGAAAGACAACTCGAGCAATCTTCTGTAAAAAAAAAATGGTCCCTGTGACATTAAGGTTATTCTAGTATCTCTTCTTCCTAGGAGCTAAAACATGTATCTCTTATTAATCTTTATTTCCGCTAGGTCTAAATAAGCCTTAAAAATTAAAGCTTTATTTTTCTTTTTAATTCTTATCTTTATTTTTTAAATACTTTTTCAGAATGCAAGGAATGTTTGAAAAGATAATATGCAAGTAATTTGGGTATTTTTATTCTTTACCCCATCTTTCAATGGTACGACATATCTGGCTTTGGGGCCACCAACTTATAAAAATCTCAGCTCAAATCTCAACCTCAAATCTTAGATTTCTGCCTCACCTGAGATTTTCTTTTAAAATTCTTCTTCTTTTTTTTTTTAATGAGTTACCGAATTTACAAATACTCCTTGTATTTCACATTTTATTGTATTATGCTCAATCTATTAAGTGCAGTTGTAAATTTACTACTTGTATACCAATTGGAAAACCATTCAGATCGAAATCAGTTTAAACTGTACTGCATTTCAGAACGCTCTTTGTATAATGGACGACGCCTTCACTTCTGTATATAACAATGCCTCTTCTACATGTGTGTATACATTCTTTAAACTCAAACTTCTATACATGACTAGTATAGTTTTAGCATTATTTCAGTAAAAGTTTAATAATTAGTTATATATGAATGCATTCCATATCAGTATCTTCATACAGTACAATATATACATGTATATATACAGGGTATACAGAGAGAGAGAGAGAGAGAGAGAGAGAGAGAGAGAGAGAGAGAGAGAGAGAGAGAGAGAGAAGGAAATGCAGTTTCCAAATTTTACAGTATAATATATATCAGTATACAAGATTCTTTTTCTTTTGGTTGGTCAAGGTTTTTTTTCTGCTTTGTAGTGCGCCCCCCCCCCCCTTCCTTAAAAAAATGAAAATGGTTGCTACCCTTTCGGGGTTGCGGTTGCTTCCTAGGGGCCTGAATATGGCGTATATCTACAAGTGCAAATTGCCTTATATTGTTTATTATGGATATTGTTTTTCCACATAAAGGGAAGGATAATATATAGGCAGAACATCCCAATCTTGACAATGAAAAGATGATAGAAGCATTTCTGTATTGGCAGTGGTCCTAGTGTTCAGTATTTGAACTCCTCTTGCAGACAATGGATCGATAATTGTTACCACGAGACATTCATTTCATACTGACTTGGTCATTATTTTGTCGGACCATGATCAAAATCAGACTCTGCAAATTGCTGTAAAAGTCATATATAAAAGAGTCAATAAATATGCTGGACATTTTCTTCGTAGAATGCAATATTCATGTACTCTTATTTTCCCTTCTGCTTTACATGTACTTAATATATTATCAGTATATAATTTGTTTTCTGTGTGAAGGGCACAAAGCTCTCATGTTGAGACAAAAAAGTACCATACAAAAATATTAACTATCTGTGATCTAAATCAAACGTGCTTACAAATGACCTGCTTTCGCATAAATGTGTTCAGTCATTATCAGCTCTTACAAAAAGATTCTTCTTTTATAACTAAAACATGTAGATCGTTTTTAAGCTGCAGATATGCAGCTGATTGGTTTGAAAAGAAATGGTATGGATGACCAATGTTTTCATTGCCAGACTTCAGGCAAAAAAAAATCAACAAAGTCTACTAAAAAGGACAAAGGAAGTAGCTGGGGAAAAAAAACACTAGCACATTCCGTACGCAATTTTGCGAAAGAGAATCGCATATACTTGTGATACGGAATATACAAGTAGAGTTACTTTATAACACAGATTTTTGCCTATTTAAAAACCTTGGTCTTAAGATCTGCTTTCTCCATCAATCAAGCACGGGTATAGTGATGAGGTTCAGGGTGTCTGGACCCCCGCGACAACATCAGGAGTCTCAGAGCTTTTAAGTTTTAAGTAAAGTTGCCAAAAAATGTTAAGGAGCATCATGTATCTGAAGAAAAATTGATTTAGGAAATTGATTTAGGAAAGTGACTTGTCCTATCATCCACCTTTTCACAAAATAGTTTTTTTTCAGGTTTTGGCAAATTGTTTACTTTTTTCATTTTTATTTGCTTGTCAAGACATTTCTGAGTTCGATGCTTGTTTGAATTGAATCCCCCCATGGAAAAATTTCCCCGATCTACGCACGATTAAAATACATCTTAGATAGAAAGATATAATGGCATTCTGTAAAATGTATCCGATTTACCTACTTGAGTATTACCTGATAAGTTTAAAGGCCTATAAGATTTGCATTATGATACAATTGTAAGAATTATAATAATTTTGTATTATAGTACTCCCATATATATACTCTAATACATCTTCCTTTCATGTAGCAAATGAATATAAAAACAGGTCTGCTAAGAATGGGGCACAATTATTACCCATGGTAATTCCAACAGATTGTTTGAAGAACCACATATAAATTGTAAATGAAAAAGAAGAAACCCGAGCATCTTTTTTCATAAAGAAAGAAGTTACTGACATATTTTCATATACATGCATATGTACTTCGTTACAACGGAAATCTTTGTGTATGTAAATTGTTTAATTTAATTAGTTAAAGCAGCAGGTATCATAATGGGCATAATAAATAAAACTGGATGCTCAACACATGACCCTGCGGTATAAACAAAACGATCTGATTGGCTGATTGGTAGGGATAAAAGGTCAGCTAAGATTTGTGTTAAGAAATACTACTTATTTTTTTAATATTGCTCTATTTTTAATACAGGTTTTATAAGATTGGAAAAATCTTATGATACACTGTATTAAGAGTTTGCACACAATGGGATTTTGTATTTTAATACTGGTACATGTATATAATGATACAAATCGTGCCGTGTGTACCGATATCTTTAGGCTTGCTTTGGTTGAGTTTATATACTTTATTATCTTTTCTTTGTAAATTCCATAAGACAGTTCATGAACGTAGAAAGCTAATTTAACACGCTAAGGCTCTTGTAAAATCACAATTTGACAGAAGATAAAGGTCTGACATACATTATCAATCTATATCTAGAGGTTGTGTGAATTTTACTTACTTTACTGCAGTCGGTGACAAGAGGGGTTTATTTCAAAAAGGTGACATAGCAAGCTAACACCCACGCATCATGCGGCATCTATGCAGTTTGTATTGTTTGTATCTGTGTCTGAAGCATATCCATAGATGTGTTGTTTATACATCCACGTGTCAAGTTAAAGAAAACGGCATATTCAGGTCAAATGTAATAGAGAAAACACCAATTTATATGTATCTGCATATAGCCGTTACCTTGATTCATCTTAAAATACGCAGTATTGGGGTTCGTTTTAGTGCTATTATCGTAAACGAATCTGCTAAATGTTAACTTGTTTAATATGTATTCATAATCAAACTCTAAGTAAGCATATTTCACTTTTTATTGTAATTTGAGGAATATTTAGAGACCTAGAGAGAAAGCTCGAGGGAGAAAGAGACGGAGTATTTCTTTTTTTAGAATTCTATAATTAACTACGAAAAATTAGATACAGGACGTTACATTTTTATTTGAAATTGAAGGTGTGAACTTCTACAATTTTCAAAACGGAAATTCAATACCTCGATATAGGTTATTTTAATCGAAATTCCCAATTCTGAGAATACATGCTAACGTTGCGAAGATCACATAGTTCATGTAACAATATCTCGGTATTTGTCCAACATGAATTATTAAAGAAAAGTCATCCACTAAGGGGAACGCACTATATACCCACTATATTCCCTGTACTGCAATCGAGGTTCTGCATTCTCCTGGCTAAGATAAAATTTCCCTTCATTTACATGATCGTTCCTCGAAACCAAAATTCGTGGAAAAATTTATCAAAAAGACAAAAACATTTCGCTAAATAATAAATCAATTCTTCTCAAATCCAGACCAATAATTAAAGGGCTTTGCATAATTTTTTTAATTGTGGAAAAAAACTTTAAAACTCGATTTTTTTTGTACCTATTTTTATATTCAGGGCTTGATAAGCAATAGTTTTGAGCAATTTTTTTTTTTTTTTTTTTTTTTAATTTTTTGGATTTTTTTTTTATTGATGATTATAACATCATTCATCTTTCAGTATTAAAAAGAGGTAGTTCTTTTTATTAAAAAAAAAAAAAAAAACTTAGATACTGCTTTTGAATGTGTACACCATATGCAATATGGTATGTTTTTATCTATTTTCTAGCATTTGGAGGAGGCGGGGGATGAAATGGTCCTGAAAATTGAGAGTCTAATTTTACAAATTTCTTCACCTTTTTTTTTTTATGTGCTTCAGTACCGTCATTTTTTTAATTAAAGATAATTGTTCATATATCTTTTTTAATATAGCTTGTTTTCATTTTATACGTCAAACTTGAATTTTACACTTTGCTCTGTTCTGAGGTCAATCTGCTATAATAATCGGTTAAACCAGAGACATAAATAACTCTATTTATGGCGCTGGAAAAGCAGAAACATGTTCCTATATGCCTCTTCTACATTTTCATTAAACTTGAAATTCTATAAATGACCAGAATAGTTTTATTATTAGTAATATAAATGCATATTCTGTATCAGTAAACATAACTAATATACAAAATTAACATGTCATTTATAAATTGGCAAGCAACACGAATTCAGTTCAAACTATAAATGACCTCATTGCATATAGACGTATAATTGAATACTATGCTATATATAATCAATATGCAAGAACATTGTATGTAATTGTCTGCCTTTGTATATATTAGTAAATAACTGCATGATAGATCTCTCCTCCTTGCGTAGAATATGATTTATATCTACAAGTACAAATTGTCTTCTATTGATCTGTAATATAGATAACGCTTTTGGTTGGTATTTTGACAGATTTCCAGCTTAATTAGCTCTGATTACAAGAAAAAGCTCAGATCTAAATCTTATACTCTCTTTGGGCTTTGTCTATTTAGGCTTAAAGCGGCAAGCTTTCATAAAATCATCATATGACAACTTCCCGTCGCCATCGCGGTCAGCTTTCTTCATAATTTCATCCATATCAATCTCTAACTGTCTCATTTTGCACTCTTCCAGGGTCGTCTGCAATTCTTCCCGCGTGATGAAGCCATCTTTATTTCTGTCGAATTTTCTGAAGATCTCTAGCATCTCAGCCTCCCTATGAAAGAGAAAGAATAAGAAATGTTTTACTTCTGACATACAGACTGTGGCTGCAGAAATACATCTTCTCAATGTCAAGGTTTTGTGATATCGTTCCTCGACACAAAGGAAGGTTTACATAAAGAAAAACCAATATCTTGATGCCGACATTTCTATGTTGGCAGTGGTCCCATTGTGCTGTGTTTGAACCCTAAATTTAGACAATTTTATTATTTTGTTTTCTGTCTTATTTATGTTATCAGTATATAATTTGTTTTTCCATTTTGGTTTGTGTCCAGGGACAGTTCAGACAAATAGTAAATACCTTACATGTATATTAGCTATTTGTGATCTAAATCAAACATGATTGCATATTTTTGCATGCAGGTTGTTCAGTCATTATCACCTCTTACGGTTCAGCGATACCAGAACAAATAGAAATATAGCTTAGTATAGGTAATTATTAGACTCATTTCTATGTTCTTTTTAACGGGTGACACCTACTTTCTGGTCTTGGCGACTTCCTTTGACATTTACCGGGTTTACTTAATACGTTCTGTCCTTGGCGTCTTTCTTTAACATTTATCGGTGGATACTTACGTTCTGTCCTCAGCGTCATTATTTGTCATTTACCGGTGGATACTTACGTTCTGTCCTCAGCGTCATTATTTGTCATTTACCGGTGGATACTTACGTTCTGTCCTCAGCGTCATTATTTGTCATTTACCAGTGGATACTTACGTTCTGTCCTAAGCGTCATTATTTGTCATTTACCGGGGGTTACTTACGTTCGAGCCTTGGCGTCTTTCTTTGACATTTCGTCCATGTATTCTTCCAATGTCACCTCGCAGTCCATGTTAGAATCAAGGTCCACAAACATAGTCTACAGCAATAAAAAATTTACATTATAAATGTGTGGAAATGGCTTTTCATAAAACATACTCTAATGCAAACCAAAATCACACCCCTCACACCTCTACCCCCCCCCCCCCCCCCATCTCTTCCCCTTTAAAAAAAAGTGGCATATATATTTTGCAAAATTTTTCTGAATTTCTTAATAATTGAAATATTTTCATTAATTCAACTAGATAAGTGAAATAAATAAAGTCTTTTTATTCATTACCAAGTCTCACATCATCATCTTGCATGTATATGCTGATGTGGTTTGTAGAGAGGTTTAGATTGGATATCTGATCTAATTGTATCTATACTATGATATGTACATTTTAAATTTTCACATACAAAGCATTACGTATGTTTTGAATGGAGACTGCGTGCTACTGAAAATAAACACGTGTATTAAGCTACAGTAATCAAACACATGTAAGCCACAGTAACCAAACACATGTAAGCTACAGTAACCAAACACATGTAAGCTACAGTAATCAAACACATGTAAGCTACAGTAACCAAACACATGTAAGCTACAGTAACCAAACACATGTAAGCTACAGTAACCAAACACGTGTAAGCTACAGTAATCAAATACAGAGTGCGTTTTGTGCATCAAAGTTTCTTTCATCAAGTTCCACAAATTTTCAAATAATAACATTTCGAAAAGACCCGGACAGCAAAACAGAATTGTTTTGTCTCTGTTGTGAATTATTAAATGCCATTCAATCCATTTTGGGAAAAATAATATCATCAGTATTCCTCTGGTGATTTTGGAGTTTCAAGTTCTCCCGTCTCTGGGTTACATTGTATGTCGATATTTTACCTCACATCTCTATGCTTTCGGGGGATTCTAAGCGGTCAAGTCCCTGCCAATAATGTTTGCTCAAGCAATAAATCAATCTTTTTCATACTAGTGTCTAGCAGGTAACATTTCATATTCCTCGTCACTTTGAGTATTTTTCTACAAATAGTCTTCAAGATGAAGGGTTTTTATGCTTACATGTACCTACATGTATAGATTTGAAAAACAAACGCCTTATTTAGATAACAACTTTGAACGAAAACTCTTTATGCAGTCCTTTTTATTGGTTAAATTTTTGAACAAGAAATTAAGACTACAATTCTTTGTCGAAGACAAAACAAAAGGGACTGTATTTATTAACAATGAAGATATTAATTTATTTTGGCAAGTACGGTTTCCATGTTTATGAAAATAAGTGCCCCATGGACCATAACGCTCATCCGAGTCACCTTGACCCCGCTATCCTGCTGTTCTACGTCACATTTTTTTTCTTCTAAATATACTTAATTTTCACATGAAAAATTCATATCCTTATTATGGTCCCACTCTAGCCCCAAGGGATCATGGCATAATATAACTTGAATCCACACAATTAGGGGATTTTTTAATATCACTATGAATTACATGATCCTACTGTTCTGCAGAAGAAAAATACATTAGGTAAAAATTGCTCCCTTATTAGCCCTACTCCCCAAGCTCAATTATTTGAAAACAAAGAAATTGAATACACTTAATTTAGGAATGATTCCATGTTAATGAGAATAAGTTTAGCCTGCTTTTTGCAAGAAGAATTTTTAACAATAAAATTCTTATACACGTGTATTTCCTATTAAAATATTGATACCCTATCGTGGCCCTGCGTGCTACATTTATTGTTAAATGTAAAATAAATTAATAAAATTTTGAATCTGCTTTAAATACACTTAAAAAGTTGTTGCAATATCAAAGATTCTAAAGCTTTCAGACAAGAAATACCATGTTAAAAAACACTTCCATACCTTGTATATATGTTTTTTTAAACATGGTATTTCTTGTTGCTTCTTAATATAGCTTACCATGGCCCTACTGTTCTTGAAAAGATTTTGAAATTTTCCTATTAAATCCCATGTTAAACTTAGATCTCCCATAGTGGCCACTCTTACCCTTTTGAACAAACTTAAGTCTTCACTATCTGAGGATACATCTGTATTAATATCACTAACCAGGACTTTGCTTTTCTTCATCATAAGATTTTTATAACTTAAAGATGATTCCCATGTTAAACTTTGATATTCCCTACCTCAAAGGGCCATGACTTGATTTGAAACTATATTATTCTCGGAAGCTTCCGTGTAAGTTTCAGCATTTCTGGAATAGGCATTTTAAGAAGATGCATCATTTAAAAAACGCTACCAAATTTCCCCTATAAATTCTTAATCATCTCTCCTTGAAAATAGCTTTAACTCCTCAATTAAACAAACTTGAATCCCATTCACCCAAGGATGCTTTTTGTCAAGTTTGGCTGAAATTGGCCGAGCGTTTCTGGAGGAGGCGTCGTAAATGTTAAAAGACAGAGGGGTAGACGGACGGACAAAAAAATGTGAAAATGTGATCAGAAAATCTCACTTTCAAAAGCTTTCAGCTCAGGTGAACTAAAAATTAAGACCATAATGAATTAATTTCATTTTAAAAAAAAAAACAATCAGGACATCATGACTATTCAGTTATATTTTCATGAGTTTGCACAAAAGAATTTCCGGTTATGGGAAAGTGTGTGGGAGGTGATTGATGTTTGATAAACTTTAATCGATTTAAAAACATTTTACAGCCAACACCCGGTCTGTCATCCTCCGTCTTGAAAAACGACTCCTCGGGTCGAGACAAATGAAAAGTAACGTGCTGGATCGGACAGGGTTTTGATTTATTCCTCGGCAAACAATATTGACACAGAGTTGTCCGTTTATGATCCCCGGAAGAATATAGACATAAAGTGAAATATCATCATATCTAGGACACTGGAGAATTTCGATTCAATGAAACCAATACTTTGTCCAATTTTAAGAGAAACATTCTTTTTTTCTCTCCTTTATCATTTAATAATTCAAGTCAAATGTATAAGAATCATATTTCATTTTGGTGTGCAATTCATATTATATAATTAGCTATCAGTGAATTACATGTAGAAATGAGGGACATTTTTTTCAGTACCAAGAAATTTAAAAATCGTGTCATTATCATAATAATTGCAGATTATATAATTCAGACACAGCTTAGTTAACTATATGCATAACGTCGTTTGCTATAATAACATTGAGCTTATGTTGAAACATTAACCCTTATCACAAAATGTAATTCAAGTCATGAAAAAAACATTCCAGCAGCTTGAGTTTCCTCAATCGGGAAGTTCTTTCTTATAGATATGTAACTTTATCATTACAAAATAAAACTGATTGTGCACACCCAAGAATTCTAAAGCGTTTTGACACAAAATTACTGCTATTCATTTTTCTGTATTAGAAAAAAGTTTGATTAAAACTTAATCTAAGGAACTCAATTATTCAAAATTGTTTCAGGGTGAAATGTTAGACCAAACATCAAAGTAACATTTTAGGGCCTTTCATCTAAAATTACAGCTGTATTAAAAGATCGGAGAGAATATGTACAGACGAGCACAACATAATAAAATTATACTCCTTAAGGCGTGTGTTTGAATTGAACAGATCGGACACAATTTGGGGTCAAGTGTTTCCCATTAACGGTTTTGTTTATTAGGTGATTATCAGTAAAAATGCTTTAGAAATGGTCCACGATTTTCAACGCCCCACTTTACCGACGCAATAAATTTCATTTCAAGGAGGGTGGGAGAGTCTGTGTTAGGTTAGGAATTTATTCTGGAGGACTTTCGTCGAGATAGAAGGCGTTTAATATTGTTTTGGTAAAATATGGAAATTTATTAGGTAGCAAATTGATGAAAAAAAATAATTAGCTAGTATTATGGTAAAATATACTATACATGGTAGTAACTTTGATAAATCAGTTATTGGAGAATTAAAGTCATTTAGTATAAAGTTATAGACTTATGGTACACTGTTGCATGTAGTAGTAGTTGCACTGAAGTTGGTTTGTAGCTAGAAAATTAAACTATAAAAAGAACCGTCGCAGTGTCTTTCTTATAAGTATACTTTCTTATACTCATTATCAAAATAAACATACAAAATGCTATTTGAAAAATAATACATTGTATTTTAATCATTTTTTGGATCTTTTCTTATCCTGTCAATGCTTTTGATCTATCAGGGGGTCTCTCTTTTTTTATTTACAGTGAATTAATCAGTACAAAGCGGTTTCTGGTTATATTTAACATGTTTAAGAAGACCATATAACATATATTTCGTGTTAAGACTTTGCTTAATGGTTTTTTGCCCTCTAGATGAATGGCAATATACAATCTAAATATTTTGTTTGGCATGTCTAGCAGGTTTTTTGTTAGACCTTTCTAAATAAAGGTGAATTTTAAGCTTTTCAACCGTTTCTAAATACCACGGACGTGAAAATACTAATCGACACCAATGAAAGGTTTTTATATTGTGCATCTACATGTGGCAAACAATGAAACAAAAATTTGCATTTACATTTACATAAGACCTTGCCGACTTTCGATTTTGTGCGATTTATCAACAAATGAGAAAACAAATTGGTTTTGGATTTGAAAATATAAAATTTATCAAAAGTGTTTTTCAATATTTTGCAAATCAGACATTAAGTTCTCAAACGCAGAAATAAAAAAAAAATCTGGTAGTAATTGAAACATCCTCAATCTTGCTTCTCCTTGATAAAGAGAGATGTCATTTTGATCCACTTAGTGCGTTTGGAATCTTGTGTATCCATATTGATTGTCTTTCTAACAATGGCATTTAAACGTTATCGATCTTGGGGAGAAAATCAATCGCTCACATATTCTGATCCTACCCGCAGGCTGCATTATTTCTTTCATATTTTAAAAAGTTAAAATTCTTATTGCAAAACTGACCTGACTTAACTAAAGCCGCATAACTGTTGGTGTTAGAGTGATTATAGCATTTTGTTCTCTAATTGGATTATTATGACTTCAGTCAAAATGACAAATATCTGCCAACAATGCCAGACAAGGAATTTAAATTTCTTTCTTGTTGAATGGAGGCATTTTTTAATGAAGTCTATATAAAGTATACGTACTGTCTATTGAAAAGAGGCGAGATTTTTAAATCCCCGACCTCATGTCAAGATACGGACTTTTTGTAGCGAGCGTTGACAGTTTGTCAACACAGAAAATTACAGAAATGTAGCACTTCAAACGAAACAGAGAAAAAGAATATTAAAAAGATTTTTACCGCAATTTCTGAATCTTTCCCAATGAATCCTCGTTTCCGTACAGCTTCTGCAAACTGATAAATTGTCAAAAATCCCAAATTGTATGTGTCTGCACTTTTAAAGAATCTATAATACACATCTTTTTTCTCTTTTGGGAAATTTGTATATCTGTCCAATAGTTTCTTTTCTTCATCCGCGGTGTAGAGTGGCTTTCTATCCGCTAAGCTCTGTTTATCTAGTTCCTTTATATTCTGCTCAATTCTCTCCGCAATATTTCGGACATGGTCTTTTTTAATGTCAGAATGGTCTGAGATCCCGTTGACCTGGGGCTTTTTCACCGGGGTATCTTTTTCACCGTTCACCTGTTTGTTTTCCTTTGACGCATCCATCATATCCGAAATCCGATTACCGACTGACAGCTGAAATGTGTACCTCTGCATTTTTATACCCACCGCAGATTCCCGACCCGGTCAGATATTTACGATGTTTGCTTTGGGAGAGTGTTGATCTGACCACGTGACTTTGGGTGACATGTACAATCATATTATCTTATTTTAAATACCCAGAGACTGATCAGTTTAAAATCAATCGACAGTCGATCACTCGGAAATTTAATATACAGGAAACTAAGTTCCTCATCCGAACTTCGTGCATAAAGATACATCAATACACGCTAATTTTAAATTAATTAAGGTAAAACTTAAATTTCAGAAACCTAACTGCTTTTGGTATTACGTATAGGAATCTTTAAAGAAATGTTTTTCATTCTTATATAATGTTTCCAGTAAGATTACACATAATAATCAATGAAATGAAAATAATCTTTGAAATATTTTTTATTATATATACTTTCCACAAGGAAACACCAAATTGATATTTTCGGAGACATATCACTGAGTATTTTTTTCCTTAATATAACTCTACAGTTTTGTCCAGTAAAGTCCGGGTGTAATTAATAAAGTTTAACATTTATAATAGAATTCAAAATTCTTAACCCATGGATCTTATCTTAATATCGGTGCACAAGTTACCTACAGACGTGTGAACTACCTTAAATTTAATTAAAACGTATTGTCACATTGATTACCTGTACCAGTAATATTTTATGCATTTCTCTATTTACCACATCCGTTTAAATCAATTCAAAGTACAATATTTCTTCCTTTTTAAACACATTTTCCAGATTATTGTAGAGAAAGTATAATTATCTAAAAAAGCTCTGAACAAAAATATATGAAATACATGTTTGGCCTCTTAATATCCCGTGTTAATTGTCTTTTCTTCATATGCACATGTATTTGATAGATATGCCTTGCCAAATAGATATGTAAATAATCGTTAGTGGGTCGTGTCAGTGTCTGGAACTTAAAAGCGCTTGAGAAGACTAAAATTCATTATCAAGTGAATTTCACATAAAAGTATAACTAGTTAATGCAGGGAAATTGTGACCCCCGCTTAGGGGAAAAGAAAAGAACAGGGCAGAAGTTCTGGAAAAAATGCAGATGGAGCTGTCATGTTGTAAATTTTGAATTTACCGGATGGCAGTAAATACAAAATTTACAATATGACAGAGCTACAAAGAAAAAAAACTCGACTTGACCTTTCAGGTTTTGGTCTTTAATTCAAAGGGGACCTTTTTTATGTTAAAGAAATTCATGACCTTAAGGATGACGTTTACTCAGGTTTCAGAAGATAGAAAGGAAATTTTATAAAGTACAATATGTTAAATCAAAAATTGTTCTAGATGGATAAAATAACCAAGTTTTAACTCAATATCAATTTAAAAATTAAATATTCTATTATTTGAAGAAAATATGCAAGAACAAAAGTCAATAGATGGTAATGCAGAGGAAATTCTGACTAAATTTTTATATTTTTCATTTTTGTCATAAAATTCTATTTCTTGCAATATCAATTACAAAGTAAAGCGTGCATGTATTTTTAAACATCATTTTGCAAATATTATGTGTGTTAAAGCTCATGAATTATTTCAAATAATTGAATGTCATGAAATAAAGAAATTCAAAAATATGAACAAAAACCATTCCAGACAACATAAATTATCTCAATAATTTGATCATTGACATCATATAATATTAATACCATTAGAATAAGGTCAACAAAAGTAAACTGAGGCTATAAATAATTTAGAGTTCTTATTATTCAGATTTTGTAATATTAGATTAAAAATGGGTAAAAAAAAAAAAAAATAGAAATCTGACAGAGGAAATTCGGGCTATAATAATTAATAAGTTTATGGCCCAAACTCTAATCTTTTATTTATATGAAGCAATGCTGTTCCATTCCTATTATATTTCATTATTTAAAGAGTTTTGTTGCTTGTAATATTTTGTGAGTAAAGAAAAAACTGGTCATAGTTTGAAAAATTGAGGTATTTTCCGAGAAATACTCAGGGGCCACTTGCATGAAAAGTAGGTCATTGACCTAGTTATTTTTAACACAAGAATCATAAGTGTACAGTGTGCAATAGGTGGTTTTGTCGTTCTTATCAGTGGAATTTTTTGTCATCTGAGTAAACGTCATCCTCAAGTATAATTTCAAAAAAAAAAAAAAAATACCAAAAAGCTAGTCTAAGAGTTATCATCTGAAAACTGTGTAATAATATATAAATTTCTGACCTTGGTCTTTGATCTTTTGACCTCAAAATAATCATGGGTCTTTTTAAAAGTCATATTGACTAATTGTTGTATAATTCTCATTGCAAAACCTCAAAGAAAGCTTAAATTTTCACCAGGAAGCCATTTTATGCAAGATATGAATTTTTGACCTTGACCTTTTGACCTAAGAATCAATAGAGGTTTCTTTAAGTTACATGTATTAAGAGTTATGATATTAAATTTCATTTCTGACTTTGACCTTTTGACCTAAAAATCAATAGGAATCTTTTTTAAGTCACTGGGAGTACATGTAATAATATTTAATTTCATTCCAAAGGCTTCATGAGAACAAAAGATATCATGCATCTGCATGGAAACCACTTTTTGAAATGTAATATAAGAATTATGATCTTGACCTTTTGACCTCAAAAACAGTAGCCTAGGGGTCTTTTGTATACCATTGGGAGTTGTAATGTAATTTTTCATTGATAACCTAAATAATACTAAAGATCTGTAAACAATTTTTTGCAATATATGAATTTCTTAAATTGACCTTTGACCTTTCGACTTCAAAATCAAAAGGGTCTTCTTTATGTCATGGGGAGTTGTGATATTAAATTTCATTGCTAAAGCTCAAAGGCTTTTTTCAGATATCGTCCGGAAACAAAAGTGATGCAAAGAAAAACGGACCGACCGACCCAAATTAATAACCCCCCCCCCCCCCGCCTCCGGGGGCCTTTTCAGTGAAAGCAGGAGTCAATAAAATCTTTATGCGCAGAGAAAAATAAATCATTTGAAAGTGTCTTAAAATACTGCTACACAGGTAAATGCCAAATCGACCGGACAGATTGAATAGCAGATATATAAATATATTATATCAGATGAAAAAGTTCGTGTTACTAGCATCCATTGGAGAATTAACACATTTTTCGTCATCTTTGTTTCTAAATAAACAGACATCATTATACATATTTCTGATTTTTACAGGAACATTGATTTCTCAGTAAATAAAATTGATTCAAAATTAAATTTTGATTTTGAAAATAGTTTTATTTACGTATTTCATGTTCCTAACATTTTCAATTATTTTTTGTATTTTAATATCATTTTGCGATATAATGATAGGGCTTGCACAAGAAATAGTTTGCTAATGAAAAGAATTACGTAATCTTGCAGACAGGTAATGACCTTGATCGTCTGAAATGAAGAAGGATGTAAATTACATTTTATCGAACGTTGAAATTTTATAGCGCTAACAATAAACACGAATTTGGTTATATAACCATTAAATGTGAATAAATTTCATCCTTCTTCGGAGGTTGAACAGGAGACAGACAAAACTGAGACCTATGGATCAAAATGCTCGCATTAATTGCAGCAGGCTCCCTCTGTTCACTTTAACTCGTAAAAATATTGCTAAATGTTATAATAGCAAGCAACGTTAATTTATCCCAAAAATTTCACTTCTTCGGACACAGTTACAAGATGGGAGCCAATGAAATACATGCCGTTGGTAGGATGCATAGAATATTGTATTTGTCGAAATTTGTGACTTTGGCATCCTTTCACATATGTTGGTTAACTGTTTGGGTATTTCAAAGGCCAAGGAGGTTCGTAGATAAATGTAATAAAATGTACTTTGTTCCGTCGAATGCTTTTGGGTTTTTCACATCACACAAGTATTCCTCAACTGGCTTTAATGAACATGATCCCCAACAGCATGGCCATTTTCGACCCATGTTGCTTCATTAAATGCAGAATTATAATCGCAAGGATGCCATTATTATTGATTATAAGAAATGGCAAACGACTAAAGGCCCATCTCCCCATATATCTGTACATCTGTCAGCCTCCCCCCTCCCCCGAGATCACGTTCTGTCGATATCAATCATTCATATTTTCCTAGAAACCACTTTTGTATTTGTTGCTTTGCACCTTTTTTTATCCCAATAAACCTGGGTGTACCTATTACATTCAAATCTTTAAACTTCAGATTAAAACTTTTAATGTAACAGATAAAATACCAAATTGTCCTTTGGATATCTCATGCGCTGATCCAGGAATTTTTTCCAGAAGGTTTCTACCCCAGGTCCGGACCACCACCACATCCGACCCTCCTCTAGATCCGTGCATGTATCCACTGCTTTTATACATCATGCTGGGCCGTCACCGGGTTTCTGAAAGGGGGATTCGGGAGGGATAATTTAACTCCTCAGAAATTTCGTTTACAAATACATCAGTACATATCAGTTTGGTAGTTTTTGTGCATTTTTTAAAGTAATTTTTCACGTATCATAATAACAAAATATATAGCAACATAACTGTATTTTATGAATTTATTTTGATTCAAACATAATTTTTTTTTTTTTTTTTTTTTTTTTTTTTTCCAAAAGGGGTGCGGTCGGACGACCTTGTACCTCTAGATGTCAAACTTTCATTTTCTTTCATTTCATTTATTTTTTATATCTGTTAAGTATAAAGAGCAGTCTCCAGTGGAGAGTTAGGGTCAGCTTATTTACACTTCTACATGTAAGATATAAAAGGGGGTCGAAATAACGGGGGGGGGGGGTATTATAAGCTATACGCACAACAACGAACACTTTAATTTTTGCCACATTCTATTCGAAAATCATTTAAAATCTGGATTTCAGATATTTCGTAGCCCCCCCCCCCCCACTCGCTCCCTCATCTTAAATTCTCCATTGTTCCTTGAACATGTTGAAGCATTCTACTTGCAGGCTGATTGACCTACTCTTTTCACAAACATTTTTGTTTCGAGAGCAACGAAAAAGAACGCCGTGGTTGACAATGGTTTCTTTTGGTGAAAATTTTCAATGTTACCCTCAACAAGAAAGTGTTACTATGAGATATAGTTTCTTAATTTTCTTTATATTAAAATAAAATACGGGTGTTATGTCATAAACATTAAAGTGTCGACAATATCTTTTAATATCAAGTATCAGCAAAAACTTTGTCATATATTCGTCTTGCTGTATAAATAGAATGTATTATTTACTGTGCCTCAAAAGAAGCGACAATACATGATAAACAAAATTTTAAATCTGTTTGTCTTCTCTTCTCTTCAGTAGGTTGCTTATCGAAGTTGCTTAATCATGAAAAGAAATACTGTATAATTCGAATAATTTGATATCATCTTTATTATTTAATTAATAATATATTATTATGATTAATATATAAAAATTATAATAATTATATGATAATTTAAATGATAGATTAACTTCTAGCTACGAGATCCAAACTTGTACAAAAATACTACATTATATTCACATGCACGTGACCTTCCAGGGATTTATTTTTCCCTACATTGGACTAAAAATAGAGCGGGTGCAGAGGGTCTGCTCCCTTCCCACACATCCGATTTCCGGAAATTATTACTTAATTGAAGAAAGCCTTTATTACAATTTTAAACAAAGTTTTGAGGAAATCTTTGATCAAGCTTGCCACACCTCTTATTTAAAAAAATCACCTTCGGTTTCTCTGTCCAAAATTTCTAAAATTCAAATCGGCAGGCAGGTCTTTTTTATGCCCCCGTATTCTAAGATTCGGGTGCAAATATTTATTGCTGTCTGTTTGTCCGCAGAAACTTTATAATTAACCTTGGCTGGTTGAAGCTATGACTTTGATGTTTCACCATGTGTATTCCTTGTGACAAGAACTTTCTTTGGGTATCACTTTGTTTGACCTCTTGACCTCGACATTTGATCCAATTTTGCAAAATTTTACCAAACTTTAACCTTGGCCATGGCTGTTGGAACATGCAGTTGGTGCTAGGGCTTTCATACTCCACATGTATTTCTTCTGATAAGACATTTCCTTGGGTACAAATGTTTTTGACCCTTTGATCTTGATGTTTTACCCACTTTTGAAAAAAACTATAACCTTTGCCAAAACTTATGAACGGTTGGTGCGAGTGCTTATATATCTCACATGTATTTCTTGTGACAAGACCTTCTCTTGGGTATCAACAATTTTGAAAACCTTGGCCATAACATCTGAACAGTTGGTGCAATGGCTTTCATATCTCACAAGTGCATTCCTTGTGACCTTTCCTTGGGTACCAACAATTTTGACTCTTTGTCCTTGGAAGTTTGACCTCCTTTTGAAAAACTATAACCTTGGCCATAACTTTTGAACGGTTGCTGCAAGGCTTGCATATTTCACTGGTGTATTCCTTGTGTCAAGGCCTTCCCTTCAGTACCAACAATTTTGGCCTTTGACCTTGACTTAGGGTTTGACCTTCTATTAAAAAACTTTATCCTTGGTCATAACTTTTGAACGGTTGATGCTGTGGCTTTCATTTTTTAACAGGTGTATTCCGTGTGACAAGACCTTTCTTTGGGTACCAACATTTTTTATCTCTCGACTTTGACTCTGGAGTTTGACTTGCATCTGAAAAACTTTAACCTTTGCCATGAGCTCTCATATGGGCATCAGAATTTCACCAACACATCTTTTTTTTTTTAGCAGGTATTCTTGTCAGTCAATAAAATGATATCAACTGATTCTTTCATCTTTGTAGCTGCAATAAGGTAGCCCTCTCCGATTTTTCTAAATCTGATATTTTCTGGAGAGGAGCCCTCTCCCAAAAAGGGCTACATTATTGCAGCTAACATCTTTGAACTCCTGACCTATATAAATTATAATAAGTACTCAGCTTTAAATAATGTTATTCCAAACATTTTTATAAAAAGGTTTTGATAAAGTTCCATTTTCAAAAATACACAAGATGTGTTTGTGAAACAATGGCAGCTTATGGTGAAGGTTTAAGTTTCTCAAATGCAAGTCAAAATCCAGGCCTAAAGATAAAAAAAAAATGTGGGTACCCAAAGAAAGATCTTGTCAAAAGGAATATACCTGTGAAATTTGAAAGACCTAGCTGCGACTGTTCAAAAGTTATGGCGAAGGTTAAAGTTTTTTAAAAGTAAGTAAAACGTCAAGGTCAAAGTGGTTGGTATCCAAAGGAAGGTCCTGTCACAAGGATTACATATGTGAAGTATGAAAGCCCTAGCACCAACCATTCAAAACTTATGACCAAGGTTAAAGTTTTTCGAAAGTAGGTCAAACTCATATGTCAAGGTCAAAGGGTCAAAGTGGTTGGTATCCAAAGGAAGGTCTTGTCACAAAGATTACATATATGAGTATGAAAGCCCTAGCTCCAACCATTCAAAAATTATGGCCAAGGTTAAAGTTTTTCAAAAGTAGGTCAAACTCCTAGGTCAAGGTCAAAGGGTCAAAGAGGTTGATATCCAGAGGAAGGTCTTGTCACAAGGAATACACTTGTGAAGTTTGAAACCCCAAACACCAACTGTTCAAAAGTTATGGCCAAGGTTAAAGTTTTTCAAAAGTAGGTCAAACTCCAAGGTCAAGGTCAAAAAGTCAAATATGATGGTACCCCAAGAAAATTCTTGCCACAAGAAATACACATGTGAAATATGAAAGTCATAGCTCCAACCAATCATGTTATGGGCAAGGTTAAAGTTGACAACAGACAGACAGACAAACGGACAAACAGACAGACAGGATAAAAACAATATACCCCCGGGATCTTTCAATCTAGGGGCATAAAAATACAGTTGTCCTTCAGTATCTCAAACACGGATATCTCGAATACCATGGATATGTCGAAGTGACTTTGAAGTCCCCAAGTGCTTATTTCTAAAGTATTTTACCCTTGATATCTCGAATCACTGGATATCTGAAGTATTTTCCTGGTCCCATGAAGTTTGAGATAACGAGGTTTGACTGTACATGTTTATTGTGTATCTAATAAAAAATGTGTTTCTGTATCAGCATACACTGTACATGTATATGACATAACTCAAATTTCCTTTTTCAACTTGGAAAAATTGAAAATTGAGTTGTTTCCCTTTTCATTGTATCAATAAAATTAACCATTGCGACAGAATTTGACCTGGTACCGTGTTGCCCGAGAACGTATTGATTAATTTTTTTTTTTTAGACTTATGTAAAATTGCAAATCCTTCCAAAGAATGACTCAATACATGCAATTTTCCACAAAGATGTTCATGTATGAATTTAAGTATTCCATCCATATGTTATCAATTTACAATTTCTGGAACTGACAGAGGTAATGGAGGTCTTCTTCTCATCAAGTGTTAAAAAAATATTGCAAATAAAGTTCATTAACTTGACAATAAAACTTATTGATTTTTCAAATTTACCACCCTTAGTTTGTCTTCAAAAAAAAAACTTTCTTTTTATCAAACAAAAAACACAATGCTTTTCAGTACTTTAATTTTTTGTCATCTCTGCATCTAATTTAATATTTTAATTGAGTAATTCTGTTGGCCAGATTTTTCAAACTGTCACAAAAACATAATCATTCATATATTTTATACATTATTTCCACCTTAAGATAAATATTGTTCAATGCATACATTAGTATACAATGTATCTACTAAGTCATAGTGTTGTTCATAACATCACTGATCATATTTTCAGATGTATCAACCTAATTCCCTGCATTGGTAGCTAGTTTTGAGACATTATCTCATTTTTCATAGCATGAATTACACAAACACTGATGATGAAAATCACTCCAAATTTCCATCAAAAGAAAGGTCTTTGAAATAAATATATAAAATTTTATCTATAAATGTATTAACACTCAGGATTTTATATTAGAATACATCTGTACAAAGTTATCTGCCCCTTCGAGTCTGTCAATGATGGTGTTTATCTCCTCTAGCTCCGCCTCTGAGGGCGTGACTGGCATTAACGGACTATAGTCCTCAAAAAACGATTCCACTGTCAAATTCTGTCCCTCTAATCGTGACTTCACCTCCATTAGCTGAGAAGGATCACATATAAACTGAAAAAAAAAGTTTTATAAAATGTTAGAAACGTGATAGGTCAGGGAAGATAACTCAGAATGTGAAATACAGCTAAGTTACACAGGAACAAATTCATTAACCTCTTTATCCCCTTGGGCAACAAGTTACTACGGGGATATACCAGTAGCATCACTATTGCATGTGTATTTGGTGTTTGTGTGGGTGTGCTGTGAACAAGCATTTTTAGAAAGATTGCTAGAGAAATTTAGTACATGTACTTAGGATCACAAAACTTTGCTTATATATTCTTTAGCATTGTAATAGGTCAACCTCTATTTTTTCCCTCTTTCAGGGCTCAACATTAACATACATGTATGTCTGATTGTCCATGTCCAATTCATTTTATTATTCAATTGATTATTCAATAACTCAATCTTCAGACACATTGTCTGATCAAACAGTTACTTTCTGTACCATTATGGAATATCATAATTGAAAAAAATCCCAACAGAATGTGTTTTACACTTTTTTTTTTTCAGAAATTGCAAACATCAAATGGCTTCATTAATGGACGAGTATGAACAATACTATGTTACAGACAGGGCTACAGAGCAGTAGTGTTCTTATTTTCTTGATTAAACAAATCTTTATAAGTTAAAATAAGTTATACTTCTTGTCTTGAACTTTAATAAAGTTCTACAAATTTTTATGTCTCTTACATGCAAGAATGGGACAAGTAAACAATGAATTCGGACAAGTAACATTTGTTTGCAAAGTGTTTGATGGATGAGCTTTGAGTAATCAAAATAATAAGAGAACATTTCTCTGAATATCCTAGCCTCATTACAACAATTTTTTGAGGCTAATTAACATAATTCTTGAAAGCAAAAGTGATAATTTTCATAATTGTTTTATTTAGAAGAGATCCAGATATATCTGTATCCTGCTGCAAGGGGATGCTCCTCTTGGCAGTGCTACTGTGACCTATTTTCATGCAAAACTTACATCATATGGAAGATGCAGACCACATGTACATGTAACAGCAAATGAACAAAATTTTATACCTTGATGACCTTTTGACCCTCCTCATTAGTCTCTGTGGTGACATCCTCTGCTTCACATTCTATGGCAACTTCCTCAAGGTCAAGATCAGGTCGGTTAGGGTCAGGGGTCACATACAATATTCCTTGCTGTTTGAAATAATGTAATGTGGTAGGGCTGTTGCTGATCTTCACACTAAAATAAATAAACTCTATTTCCAATTACAGAGTAGAAAATTGCATGTGTTCCAAAGTGATTCATTAATATTCAATATGCCAAAATCAAGTAAAACTGGGAATCAATGGGAAATAAGTGCACATATAGATTAAAAGGAGGGTAAAGTACATGCTGTCATGTACAGTTAAAAAAAAATTAGATTTTTGTGTGCAGTGGTTTAAAATTTCTTAAATATCCAGAATTTGATAAAACATATGAATAGCAATAAAGTTAATCAAAATTTTATTTTGATTTGTAAAATAGATGTCTCTGATCAGATGGTAGCTCTACTCGTTTTTAATTATGATGATGGATTGAAGAGGAAGAGTAATTTGACATCAATCAAATTTTTACAAAGTTTTCCTGAAACCAAACCTGTAGGAGTGGTATTTTAAAAGCATTTCAAAGATTATTCTATTTTAAGTAACTTTGGACTTTTTAGATAAAAAAAAAAAAACCAAAAACTGATGCATAAGGCATAAATTAAGATATTGTTTGTTTGCCCTTGGCCGATTGACCCAAGAAAATAAGTTCTACTCAAAATATCTTATTCCTCTTTTCATTTCTGATTCTTTTAATTTGAATCATTTTATGTCTATTTTCATCAAGTTAAATTTTTTTTCACAAAATTTCATTTGTGGTCATTCAGATGCTTTGATTTCATATTTTTATGGGGTGGAGTATGATGGTGATTGCAACCTAACCAAAATACAAATTTTGTATGTTCGACAACTTACCAGGAAATATAATGGTCAAGAGAAAATTTGACAAATACAGGCTGCTTTGTGATGTTGGTTGAATTACAGTGATGATAAAATTTTCCATGAAGATCTATATTAATTTAAGATGAAAAATTGAAATATTTTTCTTTCCTACCTACCCACTGTTAAAAGCCTCGGTCAAAAATGGGCAAATAAACATGTTTTTAATCTTGATCTAAAGTTAACATGGTCTACATGCTACTTGTGTACTAAGTATTATTGAAAATTGGTCAAAGTTATGGGTTCAGATACACATCGTGTATGAACAATTACCCCCCCCCCCCCCCCCCCCCAAAAAAAATACAAATACCGTTTTCAATCAGAAAAACAAAAATCTGATAAATATTCACTGGTCTCAAAATTTCCCAGAAATCCAAGCTTAACTTATTGACTGCACAACTCTTGCAGAAAAAAGACAAGCAATGTTTTGGGGAAAGTTAATAGAATGCACCAGATATCACACACTTACGGAAGTCTTTTGAGGGCATTCTTTAGGTCTGTTCTTCCATTGTTCACATTGTCTGTGTCCATAAGGACTATGAAGATAGAATTACCTGGTCCATTTACTTCATACATATGCTCTTTAGAGTTCATTCCCTTTTTATTCTGTCCCAAAAAGAAATTCTTATTAATGACTCATAATAAAAATAATACCTGAAATGGATAAGTTATTATAAACCTAACCACTTTGTCATAAAGTCAAACTTTGAGATATCTGTGAGTTCAATATATTGAGGTTAAAATACATATAATTAGTAATTAGAACTCAAGATTTCAAAGTTGTATATCCAATTTTCTATTAACAGAGAATTAGTTAACTTTACTGTATAGTGTATACAGGGAAATTTTTGCCCCCTTTTCTTTTCACCCCTTTCACCCTCATTGCAAGCGGACAAATTTAAAATGGGGCATATTCAAAGAAGACATCATTATCTCTCAAGTACAACTATGTCTTGGTGAATTTAAAATGAGGCAAAATTGTTTAAATTGTGAAAAGTCAAAAAATGACAATACACCAAACATCACAAACATAAGTTTACATAGAATTACCATCTTTTCCAGCATCCTGTTGAATGCGTCAACACTAAGACTTTGTTTTTTGATATTCTCTAAAACTTGAGCTAACCTCGGGTTAAGTTTAGGATCCGTAGAACCTCCCTCTGAAAAAAAAATGTCCATTTTTCATAATTCTGATATTTTTAAACCACATAATCATCTCAACAAACTATTTACACTTCAAAATGAAAGAAATTTTGCATTGGCTTCAAAACTCAAATGAATTATCCTGCTGTTTTCTAAGAAATGAACCTTCTTAATTTAAAGATCATTGCAATTTGAAATAACCACACTCAAAGTATAATCATATGAATTCATAATTTTTGGGGATGCATAATTTTATTGGTATACTGGTATTTTGTGATTTTTTTACTCCGTAATACGTATCATGATTTGGAGACTCAAATACCGTTATTTGGTATATAATTTTTAATTCCAGAAAATATTCATTAAATTCTTTGAACTATTAAAAAACATTACAGGAAATCTAAATGTTTTATATTACATAAATAAAATTTTTTAAAAAAGTGAAGTTATGTTTTTACAGCATATTTGTAGGAAAAATTATAGAAATTCATTTGAAATTGTAGTAAAAATTCTGTGTAAAAATATCACAATATTTTTTATATCATTCAATTTTGGGGGAAAATCATGATATATCACAATACGAAAATTTTGGCAATCTCTATCCCTAACAATTTATAAATCTGTGCTCAATTTTGAAAAACAGAAATTTCAAATTCCTTTGACCCCTAGAAACAAAGATTCCAATGACATCATTGTTTACACCACCTACACGCAGTGTCATACAGACTCCCTCCCATATCAACAGTATTCCTAGAATTGACAGAGATACATGTAGTTAATGACCCCCCACCCTATCTTTCTCCGAGCATTTTTAACCGTGTAGCATAAAGTCCCCACAATCACACAACCCTTACCTTTTACAGCTGTTATGGCGAGTCTGACGTACTGGTTCATCATGGTTGACTTTTTATAATCCTGCGCCTCTTTCCGATGTTTGATGTTCGAATACTTACTATGACCTGCCATATGTCTGTTTGTCTGTAAGTGCACAGCACTAACAGTTTGAAGCAATGCTTTTCTTTGCACTGCTTTGTATGTCCATACACTTATTTCTGTTGATTTTGAAATTCTATGCCTCACTAAATCTTGATGAAGAGAACATCTTTGAATACGATACAAGTTGTGTCTTGTCCAGCTACAAGAGGTTGTTCTTTGTAGAACTCGAAGAAAAGACTGGTGAATTGCCTCCATTATAACTAGGTTTCTAAAAAGAAAAAGAAAAAAATTATCATCATAGGCAAGGCAATGTATTCAAATATTTTCACAGTGCTTCATAATAATATAATATATGTAATATATGTATATGTATCCTTTTCATAAGCAACTTTTGTGCCAAATATGAGATTTTTGTGCTATGTAGTTTTATACCAAAACATTACAAGTGTAACTGCATGGAGATCAAGGGAGAAAAATGTGACAAGCCAGACCAGGATTTGAACCCAGGCTCCCTGAATTTCCAGTCAGGTGCTCTATTTCCTCCCTCCTTAAAGGTCTTCGGCCCTCAAAGACACAAACCCATGCTTTTCCCTGGTAGGTCTTTCACCTGTCACTTCCAGGGCATTGCACAGCACCAAATGTAACCGGAGAGGGAGAAAAATGTGACAGACCAGACCCAGATTCAAACCTGGACCCCCTAAGTCTCCAGTCAGGTGCTCTACCAACTGAGCTTTCTGCCCACCGGTGATTGAAGCCGACTGACTACCACACAATTTTCATGTACAGTCTGGACACAGAGCAGGTCAGGGACAAACACTCCCCACTCCTGGCACTAAAGTATTTGCAAAGGGGGAATATTATATCAATATTGAATTGTTTTTGTCTGCCTTTTTGGCCTAGCTGGTTGCAAATATCCAATACTTAGATAGAATGTTCTATCGTTAAAATGATATTGTCCTACGGACCCGGTTTAACGATAGAATTCGTTCCGTGTATTCGCAATGTAGCAAAATAAACACGGGCGATAACTCGAACTCTGTGCATTTTCTATGAACAATCCAGAGAGTTCTGAATGTCAATATGGCGTTAAATTTGAAGCGAGGAAAAAACGTTGAGAAAATGAGTTGAATTTTCGTATTTATATGGATTATTTTTTAGGTTAAAAGGCATATACAATCTCAAAAAGGTTTGTTATGATTAATTTGGTAGTCATTTTCAGTGCAACTCCTTTTGTATTCTTCAAAATCATTTCGGAGTGGATCCACTCCGATTTGCTACATTGCAAGTATATGGGACGTATTCTAACTGTGGTGAGGGCTTGTCCCGAGACACAGTTAGATTATTCTAACTAATCCAATACTATGCTTAAAACATTAGTATGACATCATCCTTTGTTCTTTTAATACTTTCTATTCCTTGAAAGGCCCAAGACAGTCTAATAAGTTACCTATAACCGTCCAATAAGTTAAAAAATCTGTCCATTATTAAAAATAATGGACAGTATTTAATAACTTATTGGATGGCTATAGGTAAGTTTATGGATTAAGAAAACACAATAAAGACCCAAATAAATATTTAAAGTAATGAATCCAACATGTTTCACAATGTAATGAAATATATATTCCAAGTCACAAAAACAAAAATTGAAAATGATGAAATGTATTTCCAAATCACAATGAATGTCAAAACTTCAATTTGAAGGAAATATCTCCGAATTCTATGTAGCATGCTCGGGGGTGTCAATTTTCCTTTTTAATGCTTCTGGCAAGAATCAATTGCTACTTCTTTCTCACTAGAACTCCGAATAATTTTGCCCACTTTCTGCAGGAGCGCATCGTTTCTTCTGTTATAGGAATGCAAGGGTGTTTGATCAGTAGTCTTTGCCCGATTCATTAATGACTTCAGCGATGAAAAATAATTATAACTTTGTTGGTTTCTTTATCACCCAACATCGTGATGTCTTTAAGCACGAAAACATCAACGTTGGGTACAGTGCAACATTCTCCCTGACATTTCAAGAACACAGTCACTGCCCATTTACATTTCTCTGTTTTTCGCGAAAAGCCTTTTCTAAATCATATAAATATAGTTGATTAAATTACGGAAATCTGTCTACGTTCCCTTTGTTTTTCTGCATCCTTGAGTAGCCTTGGCCAAAAGTTGAGAAATATTTGAAAAAAAACGCCCACTTTGAGTTCAAAGTTCATTATCTTGACAATCCTAAGCTCAAAATCCAAAAATCGCTTGAAATATTAGTAGATTGCTCATCATATCTGAATTTGATTTGCATCAGAAATATGCTTTCTCCCTCGGAAGAAGACATTCTTTCAACATTGACAATCACAAGAAAATGATTTTGGGATCTCATTGCATTGTGGTTAAATATTCTTAATTCGTTTATTTAAAAATAGGATTTACCTGTAACTGTCCACTAAGTTAACAATTAAAATGATTGAAAGTTTCTTTTGATTGAAAACAACCTATACCTGAGACAGTCCAATAAGTAGACAATGCTTACTTAATACAATGGAAGAGAAACAATTCTAAGAGATTACATTATGAACACAATAGAGTAAATGTTTTAAGTAGGTTATAGGCCTCAAACTGTCCATTCTGTGAGAAGAAAGAACAATTGTCGGGCCTAACGGCCCTCCAACAGTTCTTTCTTTTCACAGAATGGACAGTTTTCGGCCTATAACCTTTACATAAGCACAGGTACTTGGGTCTTGGTTTATAAATATGCATGTACCTTATTGATGTGTAAAAAAGTACTTTTTTTTTTTTAAATATCAATAAGGTACACAAATATTTATGAAGCAAGACCCAAGTACCTGTGCATGGAAGTTGAAATGACAGAATGTCAATATATTACACATTCTCACAGAACATGATATAGTAACTGAAATCAAAAAATTAAAAACCAGACACAACTAATATCTATCCTTTCACTCTGTTGTATCATGCCTATCAAATGACACAACATTTACAACGGACAATCAAAATGTAGGAGGAAATTCGGTCCCTCAATATTTTACAAAGTTCCACATTTTTTTTAAAGATCAATGTCAAGAGTAAAAACTTAGTAATGCTCAACATATAAAAATAAGTTTTTGCATAAAAGTGGATAAGCATAATTTCATTATTTATAATCAAACTTACAGTTACACAATCTGCCTGTCCTGTCTCTTCGCCACCATGAGGACAAAATCTTGTCTAGTTCCCTGCCCTTGCATGGTCTTTATCTTGGTTCTACACCATTTCAGTCCTATCGTTTTGGGTCCATCTATACGAAAATGTCTTTTTCATTTATTTTTTAAAAGTAAACAAACAAACAAACAAAAAAATGAAAGAAAAAGAAAAATAAAGAAGAAAGAAAAGAAAAACTGTCTGTTCTACTCTAGCAGTGATGGGGATGCCCCAGCAGTCCCCCCTGAAAAATATTAATTTTAATCTAAGAAAATTGTAAATATATTAAAGAAGTATATTGCCTCATGAAATGAACATATTAAATAATTATAATAATTATAGGTTCTAAATTCAATAATTAATTTAAATGTTTTCATATATACATGTAATTACTTGGGGGGGGGGGGGGGGGGGGGGGTTAGTGCATGTATCAATTATTTTAAGTTACAGTATGACATTTTTAATCAAACCTAGAAGGTTGTCAAATTAGCTGAAATTTGATTGAGAGTCCAGGTTAAAGATGCTTGTGTTGTAATGTATCTTCATTCAATAATTTGTCACACGTGTACAATTTCTACAATGGAACTTCTTGACTATAGCAGACTTATTTTTTTTTTTGTAGTGTGTCTATGCATGTATACATTAAATGATTGGTCATATGACACGTGATATAGTTGTGCAATAAAGTTTAAGAATTTAGATCTAAGCCTTAAAATTAAACCAATGTCATTCAAGTCTGTGATCCCCCCTCCCCCGATTAGCATGATTAGTCTGGAGATTAATGAGCAGCTGGATTCTCAAACAAAAAATATGTCATTTTTTTGTAAAAGTTGTCTCACCTACATGAGTCATAACAGGATTCAACCAGTGGTTTGTGTATATACATGTACATATAGTAACAAGAAATACATGTACCAAGTTGAGAAACATATATGCCCCCTTCTCTCCCATGTGGCAATATTAAACAGTTACATGTAAAAAGGATCGATCAGCTTTACACATCATATGTGTGGAAAAAAAATGGTTAACCGATTAGTCAGTAGCAAACATTATTCAATAAAAAATTTTGATGTCTGTCAAGCCAAGGGTTCTCAAGGTACTGAGCAGTCATTATCTTCCTTTGTCCAATGCAATTTGACCCTTGACCTTGTGACCTCAAAATCCACAGGCCAGCAGCTAGGGGTTAATTTCTACTCCTTTGAGGAAACATAAATACATATTCCAAGTTTGATGTCTGTCAAGCAAAGGGTAATTCTCTAGCTATTGAACAGTCAATATCTTCTTATATTCAGTTTGACAATTGACCTTTAATCTTGCATCTTAAAATCAATAGGGGTCATGTGTACTAAAGGGAAACCAGAATACCAAGTTTGATGTCAGTCAAACAAAGGGTTCTCAAGATATTGAGTTAACAACACTTGGTCTACCCTCTGACCACCATACAGATCACCGAAAGAAGGCTGCAAAACAGTATCCCCCCTTTTCAATGGAGGTATTGTAATAATATTTGGGTCAAATCCCATATACAATATTAAAAACAAACATTTTTAAAACTTTTTTTAACAGTTTCAAATTGCTCTTTATCATGTATTGTAGTAAATGAGATTTTAGCCATAATCTTTACATTACAGACAAAGCTACTAGTTTTCGTGCGAACATACATGAACCATATAATTCATAATTGTGATGTACTGCATATTGCGACTTACAATGAACAGAATTACGTATATTCCAACTTTATTTACAGGTACTTCACTGGAACACCACCTCCCAGCTTTTTTTTTCACAATAAAATACCTGTACTTGACTAATCAGTAATTACGTATACATGTAGTCGCAGGTATTTTGATATCGAATGATTGTTTTTATTATTCCCCCCCCCCATTTTACCTTAGGTATACATGATAAATAAGTTTAATATAATTTGTAAAAAAAAAATGTCCAAGCCCAGGAGTTGAATATCAGGGCAAGGAGGGGTCCTGTCCTCAAGTACCTGTGACTACAAGTCTTACATAGTCTGAGCTATATGGATTTCTTTTTGGCCAATTCAGTGTATATATAAATTATTCCTATAGAGTCAATGGTATTTAATGTCCCATGTACCACCTTTAAAATAGGAATCTCTACTTGACAGACATCAACCAATTGTAAGCCACGATTTCATTGAAAAAGCACATGAGGTGGGGTAAATTGACAATTTCAAGTTATGTAAATATTTTGCATTATCATTTTATTCTAAAAAAATATTCAACTTCACAAAACTGTTTGAATAAAATTTATATAGTTCTCTTTCTCTCTCTCTTCACAAACAAACTGGTTCATTTATTTGCCATGGTGAAAACAAGGCAAGAAAACAAAATGATGAGATGAGTGACTAGATGTTTTTATACTCAGCTCGGAACTTGTTTATACTGCCAATTATGAATAGCAGAAATCAAATGTAAAAAAAAAAGATTGTTACAATGTACTCTGATTTGTATCTTAGTGCATAAGATTCAATGAAACAAAGTGCTTTAAAATGCAATACACATTTGCAAGGACCACTGACTGTATGAATAAAAAAAATTTACAGTAATTTCATTTGCCTTTAGAAACAAAATACCCTGATACAAAAAAAAAAAGAAAAAAGATTGTAAAACTGATTGTGTAACTGCTATAATGTATATTGTGGTAATTTTTCTTGCACAGGTCTAGTAAATATCACAAACGTTCCATAACAAGCCACAGTCACATGGAAAAATATCTGTACATTATTCCGAAGTTCCCATAAGTAGAGCTGACACAAACAAACACTCCCTAGTGTGGCACAGGCTAGTGGCTTTCTCTGTTTACGTGGATAACACATTAAATATACCTGGAAAATAATTTTTAAAAAAAAATAAGGTTTATATTGTAGCAACAAAAAGTTCACCTGAGTCATTTAGCAAACACCTGTGTCGCAAGCAATATACAGTGGCTTTAATATTTAAAAAAATACTTTCACGTTATTCTCACACTATTCTGGAGAATAGAAATGAAGCAGCTCTTAAAAATTCCAGCAAATTTCTTTCTTCAGAAAAACCATAAAGACAAGGCATATTATCTTATTGAAGACTTACATTTGGAAAACAAAAGGTGGTATACAAAATCTTACTTGGAATAATAAGAGAAAACTGCAAAATATGAAACTTGCTGCATTCTGGTAATGATCCTTTGAAAAGTCCTACGAAACATAAAATAAAAGCTATTCATCACAGAGATAAAAGCATGAATTTATAGGAGAAAAAAGATTAAATTTTTTGTTTGTTTCAAGATTGAAAATAGTAAATAGTACAGTCAACACACTTATAATGAATTCAGTGAAGTGATTTTCATTCCCTGTAGTATTAAAACTCGTTTATATATAATGACTGCCATAAGAAATCAAAATTTTTCCCCTCTGTTCATTTGATATAAGCATATTTTACTGTATTTAAAATAAAGACCCAGGCCGCAGGATCATGAAACAGACTTAGACTTGAGTTAAATCAAATTTTCATTCACCTTTACGTAAAATGTTTATTAATTATTGAATTAATCTCTAAATCTGCTGATAACAATGCTTTTGTAAAGCAACACTGAAAAATATTGAAATTTTGGTCTGCTTGACTTTTCCAATATTTTAGTAAAACATAAAGATTTCGACTTAAGCTTAACATGTTTCATGATCCCGGGACCAGGATAGAAATCCACTTACCTCTACATGGGCCTCATTAATGACTGCCACTCCTCTGGTGAAATTCAATACAGCACATAGACCATTCAGACATATAGACACAACAACCAGGAGATTTATTGGAAGGTAATTCCCATACCGCTTTGGAATGGCTGGAATTGATATCAATTTCAAAATGAATTACAAGTGACAACATACAGTGTACTATAGGATTTTTATTTATAAAATATAATCTCAACAGTTTCAATATTCTGAAGTTAAAAAAATTTCTTCTGTACAGAAATCCATTTCTGTATTCATTGCTGTTTGAAATTACATGTACTTCATCAATGTTAGGCAAAAGGATTTTTTATATCATATTGAACAGGAAAGATGCATAAAAATGTTTGATGGGAAAAGCAAATGCTACATAAAGTTCCACACTGTTTAAATGGAAAGCATTTAAGAAAAAAACTGTATTTAAGAGATATATTATTATTACAGCAACTTGCTTGTATGAGTCGTATCCCTATCAAATTAACAGAGGCAGACCATCAGATCAAACGATATGAAATGCATCAAGTCTGATCTAATTATCCATACCTGTTAACTAGACATACTGGTGGTTATACTGTAAACATAAAAATTTACATGTGGGGTAATTTACGATATATATGCAATAAGAATGATTTCGCATAAATATCCCCCACATACCAATGCTTTTCTGCAAATCTTGTTCTAACAATACATAATTCTGGTATTGCAGAAATAACCCCTACATGTAAAGTCCTTGGTACTATTTTGCCCGATTAAGACATGCGTAAATATCCATGTATACATTATATATGTAATAACAAGTCTTACTTAGTCCCTTCATTGACTTCCTACCGAGAGTGAAGTGGGCCTGGGAATCTGTGGAATCTGTAGAATTGACTGAAGCCCCTCCCCCTGGGCGGAGCTCCTCTGGTGTGATCATGTGAGGTGGGCGGAGCCTGATCTCCTCCTGTAGCTGTGATAGGTTTAACTTGTTGTACATGGACCGAGAACTGTTGTATCTCTGCTTTATCTTCTGTAATGTAGTGTCTGCAAAAAAAAAAAAAAAAAAATTCCCCATTTGTTTCTACCGACCTTATCTCATAATTCATCACTTTGTGTGAATTGACAGAGATTTTGAAAAACAGCTAAAAATTATGATACATTTATAATATTTGCATATTGATAAAAGACACCAGAGATATATACTTAATATGTACTTTAATAAATGTGACAGGATGTATATTTTTAACGTTGGCAATATCTTTTCTGTATACAAACATGAGTACCATTCAAAAATAATTTTATATTAAAATATGACATAGAAATAATGATAGCACCTATTTATTTTTGTTAGGGATGGCAACGAATATTCGAATATTCATTCGATGAGTTGATATTCGAATATGAATTTAAGATTCGAATATTCAGTGTTTTTCAGATTTCATAAAAAGAAGTACTGTGATTAATAAATTTTGATTAGAACAGTGCTGGGATTATCCCTGTTTAATTTACTAGCGATCAATTTCGATCGCCTGATTTCTTTCACTACTTTCTTAGCTTATTTATAAATCTACTAAATAACATGTATTTTGTTTTGAGTAAGGTGTTAAAGAATTGTATAATGATGCTTTATGTATAATACAAAACGTACTTTCATAGTTTTTATTAGTTAGATACGATCGGACCTAGAATTGAGGACAACAAATGAAATCTAAGAATGTCTAAAAGGCTAGAAGAGTATACTTATCAAAATAAAATTAATTGATCATTGAATGAATGTCCGGTAGACTTAATCTGTAATTAATATTGTAAAGGGCTTAATTTCAGAATAAATGTGCAAATTACTTGATTATCTCGGGTTGTACATAATCCTGAATCTTATATTCATTATCGGGAAATTAGTTAATTACCTAGGAAAATTGTCTATGGAAATATTTGTTTACCTTGTATCAAAGATTATAATCATTATCTCTTATCAGGCAGATAATTGTAATTTATTACACGTATTGAAATCTGAACAGTCTATCTTGCCTTTTGTAAGACGACTGGTTCCTCAGTTGGAGCTACTATAAATACACGTTTCATTTGTTAAAATTATACTTTTCTACATTGAAATCAATTATTTATTTCAAACTTTGACAAATATCAAATGGAATTTCTTATTGTACACCTACAAAAGTCTTCATACAATTTTACTTCCAATATAAGTATACCTACGCTAAACCTTTCATGAGAGTATAAGGATGATGCATATTTAAGATAAAACAGATTTTGTTTATTTTATCGAATATTCGAATATATTCGAATACTTTCATTGAATATTCGAATATGAATTATTGACAAAATTGACATCCCTAATTTTTGTGCTATATTGTCCCTAACTTACTGGTAAATTTTGATTTTGACTACATGTACACTCAAGTAAGCACTTGTATAGAATGTATTTGGTGAAATGAGTATAGCATTACATGTTTATAATTAACAAGTTGTAACTTCCTCAGCTGAGCTTTTCACTTTTTTTCTAGCCATACTGCCTGGATTTGCAAATTCTAAAATTAGACCATGTATATACAATGTACTAGCACAGAAGTGATGGTTCTCTCACCAAACTGAATGAGTGCATAAGGCCTTGTTACGGATTCCACATATTCTCTTTCATTGCTTTGCAGAAATTCTCTCTGAACTTCATCCAAGAAGGCGAAGGCTAACACACTTGAATAGTTACTGTCACAGATGACTAGGTATGTCAAATTCAAGGCAGATATCATGCTGCAAAAGAAATAACAATAAAACTTCCAAAGAAATTGGTAAACATGTGTAGACAAGGAAAATATATGGAGGGTAGAAATATCTATACGCTTTAAGCTTTATAGTTTTTATGTAAATTTAATGATTATGCAAAAAAAACTATTGAAAAAAAAAAAAATAAATATTGTGACAATAACATTAAATCCTTTTGTTATATTCAGTAAAGACTCTATGTTGAGTAGCTGCAGAACTGTACTCTCTGGTTGAGAAAATTCAGACAGAACAGAGAGCTACAGATCCAAACATTAAAAAAAACTAGAAAAGTGATCAGTCAGCAAGGGCCCCACCAGGGGTAGAAATATAAGGGTGCAGCTAACAGAATGAGAATTTTAATTGATTACAAAAATTTAAAAATATATAAAGAAGAATATGCAATAACAACTGTATTTATAAAATTTCAAGATAATTCCAGTCCGATTCCTAAATATCCAACAACCTGTAAAGAGTATCCCTGTATTTACATAAGGCAGTAAAAAACATCACATCTATAATAACTCAATTAAATGTATATTTAAACAAGAATACAGCATGTGTTTTCAAATATCACCCAGGCTTGACCTTAACTTCAAAACAAACATAAGTTGCAGACAAAGGTTAATTTATCTTAAAGTGACAAATAAAGATAAGCCTGGAAAATCTTCTGCCCCAGACAAGATAATTAATCCCAATGGATTAATTGTACTGCTCTCTTATCCTTTTCTTCCAAGTTTACAATCGGAACTCTTTCAGTAATGATAGAATGAGATTATTATTGGACTACCCATTATAATTAATAGATTTCTTGAATTTACATATGACAGCCAAAAAAAAAAATGAATAAATAAATAAAATAAATAAATAAAAAAAAAAATTAAAAAAAAAAACATATCTTTATGTTTATCTTGTTTTTAGAATTCAATAAAATCATAACTCATATTTTTATATTTTATATTTATATATTTTACCAAAATAAAGTATGAACATTATTTAAATCCACATTTCAGAGAATGTAAACATCATTCAGAATTGACCTTAACTTCAAAACAAACTTCATTTGCAGACACAGGTGTTAATTAATCTCAATTTGACAGAAACAGATAATGCTTTGGATTTTCTTCAAGAGGAAAGTTAATTAATCCCACGGGACTAGTTGCAGCTTTCATAGTTTACAATAGGAACATTCTCATCAGTTATCTCTCTTTGCCCTGGCATTCATTCTAATGTAAAGTTAAGGAATCTACCCCACCACCCCAGCTCCAAATTGGATGACATAGAGAACCAAACTTAGCATCAAAATATGTCTTACTGCCTCTTCAACCAGCATACCAAATTTGAACTTAATTGGTCAACTACAAAAAAAGTTATTAGAAAAAAACAGAAAATTTGTGGACGGAAGAATGACAGATGGACAGACAGACAGACAGACGGACAGACAGACAGACAGAGTGATTACTATAGGGCACCCGCAAATCCTTGCGGGGCCCTAATAAGGCAGTTTGGAACCACTGAAAGGGAAATAAAGTACCAGGACTAGGAGTTAAATATGTGGTTAATTAACAGATACCATGCTTAATTATGCTGGGAAACATATATTAAGAAATAATTCCCGAAGTGAGCAACAGAAAGCGGCCACGTAAATCAAAGGTTTTTACAATACTTGGATCTGTAGCTCTCTGGTTTGTATAACTGGGGCTAATATGATTGTACTAAATTTAGAAAACATGAAAATTGCATCCTTTTTCCTGATTAAATGAGTTAATTTTCCCAACATTCATCCCCCCCCCCCAAAAAAAAAAAATTATAACTAGATGTTTCACTTATGTTCCTGTTTACTGGTATAGGGAAACAGAAATTTTGTGGATAACAAACACCAGAAACCCATAATATGGTTAGTTTTAAAGCATAAAAATTTCCCCAAAAGGTCCTCAATTTTCCCAATTTTAACACCCCTGGCCCGAGACCGAGAAAATTATGTGAGAGCTCTGTCTGAAAAAAGCGTAGTACTCACTGTATTGTAAATTGTTCCATGACATACGTTGCTCGGTCAGGAATTCTCGCACTAATCCTTGCCAGTAACTTAGCCTTGTTAAAACTTCGCCTCAGTTCCTCGGGATCATTACACGTTCTCGTGTCTGTGTTGGCAGTAAGCAGGAGACCATCGTTTGTTCTACTGATAAGTATGTTATGAATCGACATTTTCACTGCTGTGATTCCTGAAGCCAAAAAACTATTAAGATCAATAATTTGATTGAGAAGAACATTGTAGATAGAAATGAAACAAGAGGCCCATGGACCACACTGCTCACCTGAGCACTTTCAAATTGGCTATTTCTAGAGAAAAGCAGAAAGCAGTTCAGTATTGAAAAGTTTAAATATATATGTTGTCCCACCCTACTCTTGGGGGGTCATGATTTGAACAAACTGGAATCTACACTATGAAATGAAGCTTTCTCACAAGTTTCATCTTTTCTGGCTCACTGGTTCTTGAGCATGTTGAGAAATAAAAGATTTTTAAAAGATGCCAATTTAAATATGCTATAAAGTCATTCTCTATCTAATGCAACTATTGTTCTATCAAATATAACAGTGCTGGATGTATCCATGGTCAGATATGAATTATGTACTGTAGATTCCTTATTTTACGCGAGTACTTAATATCGCTAAATGGCCCTTAGACAACAAATTGCGAGAAGTATAATTTGTGAGTGGCCGCTTGATCAAGAGTTTTTACATGGATTTCAGCATCATAATAATTAAAGCGAGTGGTTCTTCTCACGTAATTATGCGATAATGGACCCTGCGATAATTAATTCCTCGTATATAATTAGGAATCTACCGTATGCTAATTTCAAATTTAATATCCTCGTCAGACTGCGAAGTATATGCATTCTATATTTATACATAGATAGTCAGTTATTTTCAGAAAATAAGAATGTAAATTGTCATGATTATATTCAGTGATGCATAATTTATGGTCATATCTCAAAACACAGCTGAACTTAGCACACAGGGGGTATACATGTACTTACAACATGTTATATTATATTGTGGAGGGTCCTAAATCGGTGGGGTACCTAAATCGGTGGCATCGCTGTGCTTTTTCTTCTTAATGTATTTTTTATTTTGTGCAAAGTGGCATATACTACATTTACTATAGGCTCGATGGGCCAGGTGTTTGTTTTATTATAAACCTAATGTTTAAGAATGTGCACATCACTATAAATAAATAAATTACTTATTTACTTATACTAATAGATCAAGGTATCATTATCGTTTCAAAAATACTGGATTGGTATCATACCATTTCATCCTTTACAACCCCATATTGAGCAGCTGTTAAGAGGAAGTTCTTATAAATGTCACCAAGCCTTTGGTTCAGATGAGCCAGATATCAGTGTTTGAAATAACTGTGTGACTGACTGCCGAGACGCACAAATTTTGTCGCGGGTGAACAGATTTGAATGTATTGACACCCAGCTAGACATGTAAAAATTTTCCATAAATTAAAATTTAGATATTTGATAAATCCTTCTCAAATCAACAAACAGTCAGACAGTATCGGCAGTAAAGTGTTATATTATTAAAGCAAACGAGTAGAATTCGTCAGCTTATAGGTTGGGGATCGAAAACATGGTGATCTGGCCCCGTTCACATTATTGCTAAAACGAATTTTTAAAAGACAAATATTTTCTCGAGGTACTCGATTTTTGGCAGGGCTGACAACTTTTACTATCAATCAGCCCTGCATGTCTAGCTTATTTTACGGTGAGTTTCAAACACTACAGATATGGAAATATTTTTCAAAAAGAAGATGAAGAAGCTACATTTTTTAACAGTGTATGTATTGACCATGTTGACTGAACAGCTGTGCCACCGATTCTTCTGATCAATCATCGAATTTGTCAAAGTAAAGCATCAAAGGACTAATCACTCTTATCATGTTGTTTATCGATGCTCCCTTATTTAAAAAAAACATATATACGTGTAAATATACACATCTAATTACCTGCCGTGGATTGAGCATGAATATTGTGTCGGCTCCAAACTATGAAACTTGTCGACTCTTCCACCGGAAATGAAAAATTGATGCTCAGGTGCGCAACAATACGTTCTTCAAAATATTCGACCCCTCTGTGGGATATATTAAAAAAAGAAAACTAAGGTTTCTGCATGACACAGTGGTTTATAATAATACTACGACATTATTAAATGAAACATGCAATTTACTTGTCAATTAACGAAAATATGTAGTAAACTGTGAAGTTCAATAGTTAAGAGGCCCATAGGCCACAAAGTTCATCTTCAGGAGTCACTTCGGTTTGGCCCTACTGTTCTGCATCAGATCCCCTCCTGACCTCCCCCAAAAATAAACATGTATTCCATTTAAAATTTTTAATCGCCTTTTTAATTGTAGCCCCATCCTATACACAGGGATTGTAATATGAACAAAAATAAATCCACACTATACCAACTAGAGGATGCTTCTACAACATTAATATACATCCAGGCCTGTAAACAGGTTAAGTCTTTTGCTAGAGGAAATTTTAATTTGAAGCTGGTTCCCCCCTTCCCAATTTATTTTTTTATTCTGTTTTTGTTTAATTGATATTATTTATTCAATTTGACAAAAACCACATGTGGCACAAGTCATACATACAGTAAACAAATATATAGTCACACTGATTTTCTTATATTAAATGAAGTTACAAATATTTCATGTTGATTTAACATCTGCTGGATTAAGAATTTCATAAGATATACATGTATTGTTAAAAAGTGTACAAAATTCACTTCTTAGTTGTTCATAAAGTGGACATACAAATAAAAAATGATGTTCGTCCTCAACAACAGTTTGACAATTGATACAATATCTTTCATCTCTTGGTATATAATAAATCTTTTGCTCTTATTTTTTAGTTTCATGTTGCATTCGATTATTTTTCATTTCATGGCCGAATTGGTTTGCAATTTTTACATTTTTGTTTTTCCATTTCCTGCAAGTTTTCCATCGATCCTTTAAATATGCATGTTGCAAAAGCAAGTTTGAGTTCTCTTGATCTGAAACAATTTTCTGTAATCTATAATAATATCTAAATAATAATTTATATATTCTGAAAATAATGGGAAGTGCACCAAACTCTACACTAACTGCTAAATTAGAAGCTTTATTATGGACACCTAAAATGTCTTTCAAGATGAAATTTTGAATTTTTTTTTCGAATGGAGTTTTATCAAAGTCTTTTATCATTTTTTAAAAATCACTTATCCAGATTTCCGAAGCATAAGTCAAAATTGGCATAATGCATGATTCATATAATATATAATAATAATATGATCTGGCTATAAGCATTCTGACCCAGTGGTTCTTGAGAAGATTTTTACAGAATTTTCCTATATATTTCAATGTAAAACTTTGATTCCCCATTGTGGCCCCACTCTACCACTGGGGGTCAAGATTTGAACAATTTAGAATCTACACTACCCGAGGATGCTTACATATAAGTTTCAGCTTTTCTGTCCCAGTGATTCTTGAGAAGATTGAAATATTTTTCCTATATATTTCAATGTAAAACTTTGATTCCCCTTCCCACCCTACCCCTGGGGGTCATGATTTGATTGATAGATTATTTTGGGGATAGTTTATCAAGTATATGTTTCTTTCTTTCTTTCTTTTTTTACCGATCAGATTTTTTTGGAGGTTGCCCCTCCCCCACTTTTAAAACATCATAATTGCTACAGACTTATATATGATTCATCATGGCTTTGCTGTTCCTAAGAGGAATTTACTGATCCCCCCCCCCCTCCTGTATAATCCCTATTGTGACTCCACCAAAAAATGGAGAAAAATTACAATTAATCTACACTATAGCTATCTTCTTTAGACTTTCGTATAAGTTTCATCTTTTCTGGTTCAGTGGTTCTTGAAAATGAGATTTTTAAAGATTTTTCCTGTATATTTCAACAAGAGACCCATGGGCCACAACGCTCACCTGAGCAAGTTTGGCCCTGCTGTTCTTCACAATATTTTTCCATTGTAATGCGTAATGTGGCCCCATCCTATCCCCGGGGGTCATGATTTGAACAATTTAAAATCTATACTACCCCGGAATGCTTCCTTGTAAGTTTCAGATTTTCTGACCCAGTGGTTCTTGAGAAGAAGATTTTTACAGAATTTTCCTATATATTTCAATGTAAAACTTTGATTCCCCTTTGTGGCCCCACTCTACCGCTGGGGGTCAAGATTTGAACAATTTAGAATCTGCACTACCCGAGGATGCTTCCATATAAGTTTCAGCTTTTCTGTCCCAGTGATTCTTGAGAAGATTGAAATATTTTTCCTATATATTTCAATGTAAAACTTTGATTCCCCTTTCTGGCCCCACCCTACCCCGGGGGGTCATGATTTGAACAATTTAGAATCTAAACTACCCCAGGATGCTTCCATGTAAGTTTCAGCTTTTCTGGCCCAGTGGTTCTTCAGAAGATTTTTTTAATGACCCCACCCTATTTTTGTTTTCTTCTTGATTATCTCCCTTTGTAAGGGGGCCTGGCCCTTCATTTTTAAAAAACAGTTTAAACTTCTCTTCACCCAAGGATGCTTTGTATCAACTTTGGTCACTAAATGAATTAATTAGTTGATCTCCTATCCTGTTTCACGTCGGGGTTCTTTCCCTAGTGTTTTCAAATAATAAAGACTCAAAAGCGTTTTCACTTTTATCTAGTTATTTGTACATAGTGATCTGGCTATAAGCATTCGTCTGTCCACTTCACAACAGTAATTTACTACACCATGCTCCGTACACTGTACACAATACCATACAATGGGACCTACATAACACAATAATAGTAAACACATTCAGTTACATATTTATACACAAGGCTACATACAAGTTATAACCCACCGTACACAATAATGGACAATAGTGTGAACATCGCAGATCTACTTTACGGAACTTGTATTAAGTGCTTTTACTCAAAATAATTACATTATTTAATATGTAACTTAAACTTACACACAGTAAATTTACTTACATGGTTACTTTTCTGTTTAGAATCATAATGAAACTAAATACTGGAATACTAGAGCCGAAACTGTCAATTAATGAATACTACTCACTTTAATATTTATAGAAAATACAAACTATTTAAACGAACGAACATTCAAACAAAACTAAAATTAAAATACGTTGAAATAATAAAGTTATCCCAAGACCGTAAAATTAACAAAACAGATAAGAAAATGTAAATAAAATTTTACTCACCGCAGAAGTCAGTGTCTGTAACGATACTTTAAATTATTTTTAACTTTACAAGCTTTACGAGAAGAGAATTAACTGGTCATTCAGAGCCCGTGCAGATACGTATCGAAAGCTGGTTTTAAGAAGGGTGGAAGAAGGTAGTGGAGAGGTATCATATGAAGGGTATTCGAATGTGAGGTCCAGAATAGGATAACTGAAAGAAACTACGGAACACATTTAGCACAATAATCACAATAATCCTAAAAGAAATAATTCTTACAAGACCAATAAACTATACAAGACTGTAAATGTGATACACATCTTAAAATTGGTATCTTTACTTGCCTGCACTTTCCCCATTTTTAAATATCCCCATGCAGACTAAACAAAACAATAGTTCTTGAGCACTATTAGTAAATCCATCCCATTCCCTCTCACATTGACTTCTCTTAGTCTTTGAAGATCATTTGATGTACAAACATAAGGTATTTTTCTCATATTTTTATTTATCTATTATATACAAGTCTATCTGCATGGCCATTTAAAACTTTGAAATTAGTTTTTGTATTAAATATTATAAACATTCTTGTATGGTTCTATTATTCAGTTGGCAATTCAATTACATTATAGTTACAGTGATTACTCATCATAGGTGAATAGCGAAGGGAAATGACTTCTTACAGTAGAATAAAAATTAAAAATTGACGAAGTGGTGCAGAATTTCATAAATCTGGTAAAAATACCTTTGCTTTTATATATTCTTTTATTTATTTATTAATCATTATATATGCCCAGGAGCAGAGAAGAAGATTTTCAAAAAAAAAAAAAAAATCAATCAAATTATAATGCATTTTCACACATGATTTAACATAGTCCCATCGTAACAGAAGAGCCCCTGACCCAGGAGCCAAGAAATCCACAATTTTCAAACATTACCCTTACTCATCATAACCGTGCACTTAGTATGTTTGTAAATACCCATTGGCTGAGAAGATTTTCAAAGAAATATGGCATTTTTTTTCTATGTATTCGAAAGAGCCTCGCTCTAACACCAAAACCCCTGACTCGGGAATTATGAATTTCAAGCTTTTTGAAAAGGCATCCTTGCTCGTCATAAACTTGACATTAGTTTGTCTGCTTAGTACCAAGGGGCAGAAAAGAAGATTTTCAAAGAAAAATGCATTTTTCACTGTACATTCAACAGAATTCATAAATTTGGAAGTGGCATCCTAGATCATTATAACCATGCACTCATTTTATCTGCTAAATACCCATGGCAGGAGTAAAGAAGATTTTCAAAGAATTAATGCAATCCTGCCCTAACACTGGACCTCCTTTCCTCGTGCCATTAAATTAACATTTTTTGAAGAGGTTTCCTTGCTCATCATAACCATGTAATTAGTTTGTCTACTAAACACCCAGAGAAAGAGAAGATTAAAAAAATAATGCTCTAACACTCTATAATCAATAGAGAACCCCCGCAAACAGAACCCCTGACCTTGGGACCACAAATTTTACAATTTTAAAGAAGCACTCGTGAACATCATAACCGTGTATTAGTTTATTTGCTGAATACCCCGAGACCATATTATTCACAATTTTGAAAGAGGCACCCTTGTTTCTCATAACTATGCACTTAGTTTATCTGCAAAATACCCAGGAGCACAAAAGAAAATTTTCAAGGAAATAATGCAATTTCACTATATCATCAACAGAGTCCCCAGCCCCTCCCGTAGAACCCTTGACCCTGGGGCCACAAATTTCACAATTTTGGAAGAGGCACCATTGATCATCATAACCATGCACTTAGTTTATCTG